TCGTTGCATGAAAACATTCTGTTCTTAACAGAAATTCAGGGAAAAGGGGTTCAAGAAGCTAAGAATTCTGAAATTCAGGCAAGCCAAACGTACCGAGGAAGTGAAAGAAAACGTAGAAGAAATTTATGACGACAAAAAGAAAGCGCTCCAAGAAAAAAGAAAACAAAGCATGGAGAAGTTGAAAGAATTTTAACAGTAAGCGCTGAGTCAACAGGAGATACTGAAAGAAAAAAAACATCAGTTGAAAGAGAAGGTGAATGACATCTGGGAAGAAATGAACTCGTGCTAACCCCGATTATCACATCGCAAAGGAAAGTCATCGATAGATAACCTATGAAGAGTTAAACTTTGAAGGCTGAAGATTTAAAAGCGCTAGTGAATGGCAGGAGTCACACAGGCCTATCAACATCTTTTGAAGATTGGTTACCTTTTACTTTCCGACTTGGGCGAGGTAGAGTTATTCATTGAGGTAGAGTTATTCATTGACCAAGTGACTCCTTTAATTGCTCTTAATGAACCGTACTTCATTCAGTCATCAAGATAGTTAGATTCACCATACAATACTTGCGATTACTTTATTTGCTTTCACGGGGAAAGTAGATTTACAACACGATTGAGTATATGTAGGAAATGTCCTTGTAGTAGTAACACTAAGTAACGGGTCTCAAACACTATCAATTCAAATGCATAAAACATGTGTACCGTAGGAGAGCGTCTAGTCATAGCTGTTGAGGAAGGATCAAAGTCGGTGGCCATACAAATCTTTGAAAGGCCTTAGACCACAACGTACATCATAATTAACCTTCTCGAAAATTGGTCTCAAATTACTTACTAAAAAAAAACAGTAATGGCGTTTGTCTTCGAGAACCATAGAATACACATTAAATACGTACAAAAAATAATTATAGTCATTCTGAGTATATCAAATTTCACTCACCTAAGGTGAAGGGAATCAGTAAAGTCCTCTTGAATTTAAATTCCAATAAAACAATGTTTTCTAAAAAGGAAAGCTTTTAGCTCGATGAGCTGATTCTCTATTCTAATGACATCAGATGTAATAATATTACAAAACTGTCAATGGATATCAACCTGACAAAATGGTTACAATATACCGACTTAAGACCCTTTTTTTAAACTTTGAAGGTCTTACAATTCTTTTCAAATAAAAATTACCCTCTGTTACCAAACAACCGACTAGTTATTTAAAAAGAAAAGCTGTCGAAAACTTTTCAAGTTCTCACACGGCTACGCATGCTCAGCAGCCTCTCGCGAAACCACAAGAAATACTTTTCACATTTCAATTCAAATCAGCTTTGATCTGTCCTTGTCCTTTTCTCTACTCAACCTATAATCACTTCAATATTTACATGTATAAACAGAAACGCAACACCTTTTTTCAAGACACCTTCATTGTACGGTTTTACCATCTAGCAGGCCCCGGCAGCGGGAAGGGTGGATGACGCTATCCACAAGATAAATTTCTATCTGGGCCCGGTTGTTCAAGGAGCGGATAATGCTATTCAACGGATAAATCGCTCTCCAGTGGATAAGTGTTACCAAAACGTGCTGCGCTATGTACCGGATAGAGATTTATCCAGTGGATAGTGTTATTCATCCTTCGAACAACCAGGGCCTAGTGGATAGTGCTGTAGATCTTGTCAACTCTTGTTATCAAGGCTATATATACATGTTTTCTCCGTTTCCTCTAAGGAATAGGAAGAAATACTCATCAATTTTTATCCTTTGTTCTAAGAGAACTGATATATATTCTCGCTATATGTCACATCGACATGACAAGGTCTGGAGATAAATCTCTGCTGAACGTATTTCAACAATCTACTGCCTCCCGTTAACCTTTTTAAAGGGTCTATCGTTCCTCTTTTTCATGATGTTCCTCGCCCATTATCTCAAATTCGTTTCCTTTTTGTTGATGTTTCATTTCCAACTCTTCAAGCTTCTTTTTAATGTCGTCAATTTCCTTCTGCATATTTCTGTTTTCTTCCGTAGGGTCGATTTCCGGGATCTTAGGTTCGCGTAAGTCAAGCTCTTGGAATGCGTTCTTAACTATCAAAAACGCACTTTGGACATCTTTGATTGAAATTTTGGACTGTGGCAAAGCAAATTTATAAATTATAAATTATAGTTAATTATGAAACTACTAGCATATAAGGGCAAAGTAAACAGAAAACAATTGTCAAGTGCTAATAATAGTAAGAGTACAAAGGTCAGATAAGCTTACATTGATTGCACGTGCAGCCAATTATTGTCCAATCAGAGCTGTTCTTTCTCTGTGTCAATCAAACTGTGCTTAGCATGCCTGCTTCGGTTCAGTGATTTATTACAGTAATTCAGATCACAAGGATAAATAATTTGCTTTGCCTTGGTTGTTCCTTCACTGTTTAACGCTTCAAAGAGTTCTTGGTGAACACAAAATATTAACATCTCTGTAAATACGCTTGTTCCAAGCGATGCATCTGACGAGAACGAAGAAACGCAGCCGAGCGCAAGCGGTACCACGACCACGAGGACGACCATCGAAACGACGCCAAACTCGAAGTGAAGAGTCACTTACTGCCGATTCTCTCCCTCAACATATCCAAAATAACGATCAACAACAAGACCAGGACCTAGACAACTATAATCATGAATCAGAAACGACAGCTCAACTTTTTTCGGAGGATCAACTAGCTACGATAGAGACCATCGTTCAAACAACAGTCGCCGAGTCATGTCGGGACATCGCTACCGAAGCAGCTCGTGCCGCTGTGAATGCCATTCAAAGTCGAGAACCTACTACGATTATTTACCATGAAAACCCACCTCCTAGAGATCCACCACCAGCCCAGGAATCAGAAAAACTGACATCTATTGTCCCTAATCAGGACACACCTAAAAATCTGAGCGTTTATAATGACGAGGATAACTTAACGCTGTCCGTGGAAAATTAAGTGATTAAAGTTTTCAAGAAGAAAAAAAGTGAAAAACATTACAGAGATTGAACAATGGACTACAGCATTCACGATTTACATGAGTGTATTTACTCACAAATACCCCTTAAGGGCACAGGAATTACCTTAGTATCTTCGTCTTATTAGATATGCCGCTAGAGTCCACACAGGGTTGGGATAGGCGATTTATGACCATAAATTCCGCCGAAAGGCCAGCTTGGATAAGTCACTGGTCTGGTCCCAGATTGACCAGCATTTATGGCTTACAATTTTTACTGTGTCCCCTATGGCACTCAGTGAGGAATATCCTCTTTTCAAACATGGACCCCACAGCAGTGCCTCAAAGGGGGGCGTTAGAGGCACCTGCCATCAATATAACAGAGTCGGGCAATGTACCAGGGATCCATGCGAATACCAACACATCTGTAACAGATGCAAGGGCCCCCACCCAGGGCGTGATTGCCCATCCCTTCACTATAACAGGAATGAGGACAGGGGGGGACACTCCAAAGATAATGCAGCATCTCCCCACCACTTAAAATCAAGTAACTCCTCTAGCCGACGCAAATAAGGAGTCCAAGGGGTCCCTCCCCACCCCTATTAATGTAAATAGACTTGAGATGGCTTTAGCTGATCACCTAGACAGGATTTTTGTTTCAAATTTACTACAAACTTTCCGTCAGGGAGCAAATATTGGTTTCTTTGGACAACGCTGTGCCCGATTCTCCAAAAATTTACCTACTGCCTAGGCGCAGCCTGACGTCGTGAAGGCCAATCCGGATAAAGAGGTATCCCTGAGGCGGGTAGCAGGTCCATTTTCAGCACCCCCTTTTTTAAACTTCCAAGTCTCCCCTATTGGCTTGGTACCTAAAAAGTATTCTGATAAGTTTCGCACTAGTTTTCACTTCTCCTTCCCAAAGTCGGGTATAACTAGCATCAATTATGCCATAAGTAAGGAAGATTTCAGTCTCAATTATATAACCATTGACACTGCTATAAAGTGAGTTATAGCAAATGGTCCGGGTTGCTTCCTTGCAAAAGCCGATGGAGACTGCCTTTCGTTTGATATCCCTTAGACCTTGTGACCACGAGCTATTTGGTATGCAATGGGAAGGAAAATTCTACTATGATAAAGTTCTCCCATTCGGTTTAGGAAGTGCACCAGTTTTGTTTAATCAGCCGTCAGATTCAGTCGAGTGGATCCTTCTAAATCATTGTGGCATTTCCTTTGTCTGCCACATTTCAGATGATTTTTTTGCTATTGAGCCCCCGTCCCCTACTTTTACCAAACACATGTCCTGCCAACAGAGCCTGTCTAGTATGCTATTGGCATTCAAAAAATTGGGAATTCCTACTGCACCCCATAAAAAAACAGGGTCCCTCTACAACCCACGGGTTCGTGGGGATTGTTTTAGATTCAGAGCGCATGGAGGCTCGCCTTCCCCCCGACAAGGTACAACACCTTGCATCATGTTTTACAACATTTAAAGGCAGGAAGTCCTGTACTTTACAAGAGTTACAGTCGCTTTGAATTTTGCTTGCAAAGTTATTCCTCCGGGCCGGCCCTTCTTGCAACGTATGACCAGTCTTACTAGGAGCATTTCTTTACCTCACCACCATATTAAGTTAACCCAGGGCTTCTTTAAAGACCTGGAGATGTGGGAGGATTTCATTTGCAATTGGGACGGGGCAAGCTTTTTTCTTCCCTTCCGTTGGATTACATCGGACGTCCTATGTCTCTACACAGATGCCTCTGGTTCCCTAGGTTATGGTGGGATTTTTAAAACTCACTGGTTTCAGGGCTCATGGGGACCTACCCAAATGCTAGGACAGCCCGGCATCTCCATTGCATGGCAAAAATTGTTTGCCTTTATGGTTGCCTGTCATCTGTGGGCTAACTCTTTTTTCTAACAAACGAATAAGGTTTTTCTGTGACAACGAATCAGTTGACAATATTGTTGACACAAAAAGGTCCCGTATTCCAAGGGTTATGGACCTAGTGCGTCATTTGACTCTTTTGACTCTAAAGTTTAATTTCTACATAAGAGCAGAGCATATAGAAGGTAAGAGGAATGACATAGCTGACTCCCTCTCTCGCTTTCAGATGGACCGTGGACCGGTTCAGAGAGCTAGCACCGCATGCAGACCGAGATCCCTTTCTGGTCCCCCCAGCTCTCCTGACGATCTAAGAGCTGATAGTCGGCGTTATCTCAATCTGAAAATTGCTGAATCTGCAAAGCAAACCTATAGTACTGGAGAAAAAAGCTTTATCGAGTTCCTCTCCCTCTATAGGCCTTTAAATGCTCATTCTCTACCTACAGACGAGGATACTTTGATACAGTATGCTGCTTATCTAGAAAAATCTGTCAAACATTCCACTATCAAGTGCTACTTGGCAGCTGTACGCCACCTTCACATTCGTTACGGCCATCAACTTAACCTTAGAAAATTCCTTTTTTATATATATATATATATATATAACAGCTTTATTGTGTTCGTAATCGTTATTCACATTATATTACATTACATTACAATTGGGTTATAGAGGGAGGAACTTAATCCCCATATTAACTATACCCCATATTATAATTATAATAAATTACATATATCTATACAAATACTTTAACAATACATACATGCGTAAGAATTTTAAAAATAGGCTATAAATATATAAATCATTTAAAATAGACTTTTTTCAAAGTTTTTTTGAAAGCTATTTGCAGATTCATGATCTACGACAGATGATGGTAGCTTATTCCAACAATCAATATATCTGTTCCAAAAAGAATATTTAAATACATCCGTGCGAAAAAAAGGCTTGTAAAGTTTATAAAAGTGGGAGTTTCTAGATTCTCTATAACTGAAAGACATAGTATCATTAATATACAATGAAAATATATGAAGTTCATATATTTTGAACTGCGGTATTAGATACATATGATGCACGATCCTCGCAGTAGATAGCGCTATTTAAGCAATAGCGAAAATCAGACCTGAAAAAAATCAGGCCTGTACGGGATTCGAACCACTGACCTCTGCGATACTAGTGCAGCGCTCTACCAATTGAGCTAACAAGCAAACTGGGAGCAGGCCGTTGAGTTGACTCGTAATAAACCCGTGAAAGTGATAAATATACAATGACAATATATGAAGTTCATAAATTTTGAACTGCGGTATTAGATACATATGATGCACGATCCTCGCAGTATCGATCCTCCAAGTACAGACCTTCAGCAGGTAGGTACCGATTCGCTGGCTGTAACTTAATGTGAATGTGACACAATCTGCACGAAATAAAGAATAAATCATTTTCAAAAAAAATCCCTGGGGACAAGATATCAAAGGATTACAGTAACTCTTTCTCTTTTTATCTGTAGGTTAGAGAACACACATCACTATTTCTGAGTCTGTACCATCTTCGGAAAAATTTAGCCCTCGAGCAGGCCCTGATTATCATCGTGGCACTGCAAGAGGCGTGTTTCTCTACATCTTGGAAGATTTGAGACGAGTCTGAGTGGGGTTCAGCGGGGATCTGGTACTAATCATTAGTACTAGACCCCCTGGGGTTGGGCCGAAGCGATCACCTGCTCGCAAGTTATAGAAATTTAATTTTGACCTCTTTCAGGTACGCAGTTAGAGTTAAACTACTGTAGCCAAGGAGTAATTGTTTCTACAAGGAACGATTGAAGACAATTGTGATTAAACTTTTAAATTGCAAGTCATCAGAAGGACCGTAAGATTAAATACATATTTTGAATAAATCTACTCTCGATAGACAGTTTACAACATTGAATTATGATACCTCAATCAATCAATCAATACTCTATTTACCCACGTAGCGTCAAGAGGCTCGTGGATCTCGTTCAAAATACGTGCGTTCCTCTAAGATTAAGAATCTAAAAACCTATTACATACTGTCAAGGCTTAATAAGTTAGAAATTGCAATAACTTAAAATTAACATTAAAATTTAAGTTTGAACAATAAAATTCAGAGTCTCTTAACTACAGGTATAAAATGTGAAGCAATAACTTAAATAATTTAAAATTAACATTACAATTAAGTTTTTACAATGAAATTCAGAGTCTCTTAAAAGCAGGTATAAAATGGTAAAGCAGCTAACGTTTCAATGTTCGCAATAGCTTCTTAAAAAGGTGAATATTATTGGCCAGTTTTACACGTGTAGGTAGTCCATTCCACAGCTACGCACACATCTAAGTGAAAGATTTTTTCATAAAATTTAAATTAAATTTAGGTGCACACAAATTAATGCCGGTTCCTCTCAGATTGTTTATAGTTTCCCTAAGACTAAAAAAAAATCTATGATATACTTGGGACAGTCATTATGCAAGCATTCAAATAACAGAATGAGGGATTTTTGTTTCCTTCTCTGGTCTAACGTTTCCATATTTAAGATTCGCAACAATTCGTCATATAGGGTAGATTTACAATAACCTAGCGGGGATCTAAGAATATAATAGTTGGCATCTTCTAGCTGATGTGTGCATTGAGCCAGAAGTATTTTGAACTGCAGGTTTCCCACAAGTATCACGTTATATTTATCCCTCTTCAGGTTGACCCTCGTCCTTTTCGGGCGAACGTTTCCTTCGTTTCTTTCCTAAAGTATTCAGGTTAAATGCAACAAGTTAGAAAAATATTCTCATTTAATTTTTTTTCAATTTTGAAGGCGAAGCTACCTCCAGAACAATATAAACACAAGATCAAAAATTTTTATCAAGATATAAAAGTTTTACTCAACATATGTCATGATTGCGCTCTACTTTTATGTATCGAGCACTGTTATACGGAAAAATCGAAACGCAGACTTCATATAAACATGCATATATATATATATATATATATTTATTAAAAACTGGATCATTGGATAATGCAATTCAAGACTTTTTACTGGCTTAGCCATTATGGTATATTAGCCAATATACCATAATCTACAAATATGGTAAGCGTACGCGTCAGCTTAAAATCAAAAGGGAGCTAAAAAATCCGGTTTCTTCTTACAAAATAGTAATTTCTTGGGGGCGTTTTTAATAAAACAATTATTCCACTCGCGCTTGTTGGATATGAGATGATTATAGCCAACTCGGCGCTACGCGCCTCGTTGGCTATCTATCATCTCATATCCAACGTGCGCTCGTGGAATAATTGTTAAATATATATATGCATTTATGTATGTATGTATGTAAGTACGTACGTCGTACGAACGTACCTATGTTTGTATGTATGTATGTATGTATGTAGGTATTTTTATTTAAAAAACAAACATCTCTCGATCGGTTATTATCATAAAATTTTACGGCTAAGTTACCGTATAATTCACCTAGATTCTGTTTTGAAATTAAACCTTAGAGCGATTAGTTGATAAGCTAAGATTAAAAAAAAAAAACTTCCCAGATTAATTCGTTCGGCTGATTTGTAAAATTCTTTTTATCATTTTGTTTCTGCTTTTAATATTTGCTGAAAGTAGAAATAAACGTTATCTATCCAAACAGTATGGTCCCACAACTGTTTGAGAGACTGGAAAACCTGAGCGCACCAACCGCAGAGAAAGTTAGAGATGGATCGTGCAGTCATAATTTATTGCGTAAATAAAATATCATGGTCAACCTTACAAAATTCTACAGAAAACTTATCATAGCTCAATGATGACTATTTTTCATAGGAGACTTACATAAGAGACTTACAAGTTCATCACAAGCACAACTAGAAATATTACTGCACGTTCTCATACCTATCAATATTTCTCTGAACCGGCTCATTTTTCTACGAACAGGAGATTTCTCTGAAACGATAAAACAAAAGATATTAACATAGGTTACAAAACGTGAGAAAGTTCGTAACCTTTCATAGCAATTCTACTTTCATTGACAATTCAAACGCAGGTGACTATTGATGGTGACTATTGTCTGACTATTGATGGCTTAAGACAAGGTGCAGCCACGAGATTCTCCACTTGAACCTCACTTTATTTCAGTGTCTCAAGCCATAACTATCAATTTCGCAGACGAGAACTGATTTTTACCCGATACCTCAGAAATAATCGTTTGGGACCCAAAGCGATGCTTTTGTATGACTAACAACAAAATGTCTAGGGGCCCATATGTTTCGTCGAGAAATTCTATTATTGATCATTAAGTAAATTTATCCGCATATGAGATACATAAGAGTGATGTCATAATACTAATGTAAGTCATTTGTCAGCTGTGGACCTAGCCGACTAACTGGGTAAATATCAAATCATTTCGTATACTTTATTATCTGAGCATTTCATGACAATGTGACTTCCTTTGAGGATTCGAACGCACTTCATTGATTGTCTGGCACTAAAGTCGTCAATAAAGATGTTTGATAACAGTGAACCAATAGCCCACAACTGACGAAACACCATACTCCTTACCAGCTGCACGACAATTCCTATACTAGAAATTTTAACTATTAATTTCATTGTTGGATAATTAACTTGTAGAGGTCTTTGAATGAGAGCATTCGTCGCTGTTGAATGACCAATCACATTTTTCCTTAAAAGTGGCAAGGTCAGAAGTGCATTCTCATCTGGGTATTGATAGCTGTGTGTTGTTCTTTCATCAGTTACAAGCAACAGCGTAGCTCGCGAAAACACCATTCAATTTTGCTTTAGATGCTGAGTAACAACCAAGTAACTTTGGTTTGTATCTTTAAAAACTTACCATGGGGAGAAATTGATCTCAGTTCTTCCGCTGGTCTTTCCTCTGGTGATACGTCACCTTGATAAAATATAACCACAGCTACAATTATGTTATCTGATAAATAAACCCCTTCAGATGGCTGGTATATCGACTCATAATGTACAAAGCTGAGATATTATCCGAAAATGTGAATATTTGACCGAGAAGCAAAAAAATTATGAACCGTACCTGCAGCCCAACAATTCCTATACTCGAATAAACTATTAGTTTCACTGTTGGATTATTACCTCGTAGAGGATCAGGAGCTTCTATCGTCGGTGAATCACCAGTTACAAAGGTTCCACCATGCTTTATAAGTGTTTGGAGCGACCCTAAACAATTATAAATAAAACACTGTTGGCACAGTTACAAACAGGTGATAATTTCGTGTTGGACCTTTAACTAACGGTGCGTACGCTGTTTGTGAGGGAGCGGTACACAAAGCACTTTTTAACTTCTAAATGGTAAAACAATTCCCTGACGACCTCTCCAACCCCAACAGATCATAGCGACGAAGTCATCACGAAGGACATTAGCCATTAAAATGGGTAGATGAGCTCGCAATCGTTTCTTAATATGTCACTCTTAAAGTGCGTCAATGTTGGGTTAATTCCATCGCAACATAAAATTTCATGACATGATTGGCATGACGGACAATACTGGTGCAAGCAGACCCTAATGCCATGATCAGATTGGTGCGAGAAAATACCCTTATGCGGGCAATCCTATTGGTGCGAGATACATTTTGTAATATGGTGATCTGATTGGTGCGAGATATATACCCTTATGTGGCGATCCGATTGATGCGAGCAACATACCACTCAACACACTAACATAGAGTTATTATTTAAAAATAAATAAATAAATAACTCAAAAGGTAGAAAAATGCGTTGGGGATTGAAAATGGAGCTTTCCCAGGTACAGTTAAAATTGAAGACCAAAAATACAAATTGTTGTGAGTTGGGGGTGAACACCTCCACAGAATGGAGAAGGAATTAAACAAATATCAACCTTTTCGAAACAAAAGGGGGAGGAAAATAATAACTAACAACTAGTTATTCAAGCAGTAGAGAATTAATTTAAGGTGAATGAAAACCAAGACTTGACGTGGTTTTTGAACAAAATTTTTAATCGTTATTTGGGCTCTGGAACTCTTCAGAAAAATGATGACGATCATCAGGTTTGCTACAATTTTGCTTAAAAATGTCATCAAATGCGTATTGGTCCAGTCCTTCCTGGAATTTTTTCCAAGAATAGAAACTTCAATAAAAACTCTTCAAAGATATTCAATTTGTGATAGTTTAAATTCCGCAGCACACAATTCCAGGGGGTTTTGCTAAAAGCAGGCCCGCAGCCCAGCGGGTCGCGGCCCATGGCCCGAGGCCCACGACCTGTGACGGCCCAGCGGCCTGGCAGCCCGAAGGCCCAGCGGCCCGCAACGGCATGCGACCCGGAGGCCCAGTCGCCCAGTCCTGATTTTCCACACCTTTTTTGTCCAGCAGTAAATCCACGCGCATGCACAGATCTACATCGCGTTTGGGCAAATGGACGACAGTGAGTTTGAATTCGTTGACCATTTAATTAATCATTTGAATCCTTGTTTTTGTTTGTTGCATGTTGTTCAGATAAAAACGTTTTGATTCTCTGTTCATTAGTCTCTACAGAAACCGATAGCACAATAGAGGACTTTCATTATCGAACGATGTAAGTTATTTTAAACCATACTTTGAAAGTGAAAATATCATAACAACAAAGGAAAAGAAAATATGAACCAAGGGTAAAACTGAAGCACAACACAAACAACAAATTTGAATTTCTTGATGGCGGGATTTGATTTTTTCACTTTTCGCCGTGATCGAAAGGTACTCCCTTTACACCCGAAATAATGTACCATATTTCTTCGTCCAACCATAAGGAGCTGCCTCCTCGACGTCCGACAGCGTAACGTCGGCAAGTCGATTGGTCGCTAGACTGAGAAGCAGAGTTCGCTTGTTGACCTTAGTGACAATGAGATTGAAATCTAGTAAGTATCACTAAGAGACTTACCCGAACACAGAGTTTCCTAAGAAATGTACAAAAACTTTCAATGAACAGTCAAAATTCTGCTACTTGCTAAAAATGGTGCAAATTTAAGAAGTGTCCAGCATCGAATAAGGGCCCACCGCCCTTGAGGACCAAAAATTTAGTAAGCGTCGAGGGCGCTTACCGTATTCGAATGAATACGGTACTTACATCGCCGGAAAGCAGTGTTTGAGAAGACGGTTTCCTTTTGGGGTGGAGTTTCTTTAAGTAGATCGACATGTCTCTGTATAGTAAAGATTCGCAGTTCACATATCGCATCCCTTATGATATTAGGGACTTTAAGCAAACCACGACGGCTACGGCAGCGAGAACGTGGAAAAACAATAGATCTAATTGGCAGAACAATAGAGCAGTACGAGCGTTTTAAAACTTTGTACATTTCTTAGTCGTCCTTTGCAAAACAACAATGTGAAATCACCAAAATTTGCGTCGTCTACGAAGCGAAACCGCGGCGGAAAATTATTTGGAACTCAACGCTAAGTAGTATAGTACTTGAGATGTTTGCATCAGCAACCATAGCCCCTGAAAATCTGACCAAATCCGCGAAAAATTTATTGATTTGATTTGATATCTGTCTTTTAATAAATCTGAAATAATTCATGAAAATTGATCTGAAATAAATCTGACATAATTCATGAAAAATATTCTGAACAAAATGATCCCAACAAAGTGATCTGATTTCTGTCTTCTTCAATTCCAAGAAAAATTAACAAAAAAATTCTTGGAAATATCAAAGCTTAAATTTTTTTTATTTTATTTATAGTATATAAGAGATGTGTGATTGTAATATTCATTTAGCATTGCTTGAGGATGACAGAAGTTATTGTCCTTTTTGTGATAAAACTTTCAAAGAAAATGAAATTGTTGAAGAGAAATGTTGTGAGAATCCAAATGTGAATTTAAGAGATAGTTCATTTGTTTGTATTAATTGTGGATTAGTTCATGGTTAAAATTTAGAAGATTGCAAGTTCATTGATTTTTATAACAATATGTATAAATTCCGAAAAAAATCAGTCTATATCAGAAAATACCATATAGAAAAAGTTATTTATGAAATTGACGATAAATATAGAATTCAAATATCTCGAAATGATATAAGTAAAATCATTAAAGTTCTTGATCTTATAGAAGAAATAACACCTCAAATAAATAGTGGAGGAAAACGGATGATATCAGTAAAGTTTATCATTGGTAAGCTAATTCTTATAATGAATTTATCTTCAAATGAAATCAAAACTCCAAAATCGAAGAATACTATCAAAAAATATAAGTAGTCTTGGGCTCAAATAAAAAGTCTTATTGGAGATGAAATTAATTCGATCTTTAATCAACAATTTAGAATCATATTTTTTAGAATATTTGTCCGCTGATGGGCACATATCTATTATCAATTCATCAATGACTTTAACCAAGAGCCATGCTTTAACATGATTTAAAAACAAATGCTCATCAAATTGAAGCCCTCTCAAATATGATCTCAATTCAGTTAATATCTTTTCATAGGATGTGAAAGCAAACTTGCACATCTCGATATTTTCTTATAATTTTTCAATTCTAAGAAGGTTTTTAAAACTATTCCAGATCCAGACACAATACCTAGGATAATTGGGTTTAGTGTTACACCACCAACGATGGTTCCAGTAGCAACCAAACCAACGGATGTTACTTGACCAATGATATGTTTCCTGTTCATGATTCTATGCATTGTTTTAAATGTCCAATATTTCTTGTGATAGAATTTGTATAAAGTTTTTAGCTCATTGACTCGGTCTTCAGTTAATTCACCTGATATGTGATTTCAATTGAATATATTCTTTTTTCTCTTTGTCATATAAATATTGGATAGATTAATCTTGTTTGGCGATTAGGATAGAACCATTATTCCTTCCAGCAAGTCGATTTGCATCGCTGGTGTTAATTTTTAATGATTTATTATGGTGGCAATAGATCATAATTGCTCTGGTTATTAATGACCAATAATCACTTGTATCTGGAATATCTACATTTAAAATAAAGTCAGAGACTGGGTCATCAATTTTGAAATAAAGAAATGAAGGTGTTTTACTCTTAAGTTCGTCTATGTATGTGATGAGGTATAATTCAGTATTGTTGATTGAAAGATAAGTATTACCCTTGGAATAATTTACTGTGAAATCAGCATTATCCCTCTGATGTACATTAGATGTGTGACCTGACGTTCCATTGACATAAAACTCCACTCTATTATCCTGATAGAGAGCCAATTTACCTCTGTACCATCTCTTTCTTGTTGCTTCATCTACATAATGCTTTGGGGTTGGGCTGAGTGATGTTTTTGGTGGATCAATCATTAGTGGTGCATTGAAATGTATAAAACAATTATGGACTTTACTATACAATTTTTCCCAAACATCTTTAACTGGTAAGTCATTGTGATAACCTTTAGAACCGTAAACGTCTACCCAAATATCTAATCTATTATAATCTACCATACCTGATTTATTTTTAAACACAACGTCAACCATTAAATAATTAGGTGATGTATCACTCCATTTTGTCATATGAACAATGCTTCTGACATAGTTTAGAAATCGATTCATTAGCTGTCTTGAGACTGTCTCAACAGAGCTTGCAGCACTTAGACTTGTAGTATTGTGATCAATCTTATTCGATTTCCACCATAACTCAATGGCAACTGTATATTCTGATTTATCACCTTGGTAAATGTTGATTCCAAACCGTGATGAATAATAATGTTTTCTGAAGTCAAAGATAAGCTTGAATGGTTTTACACGATTGCTAAATTAAAAAAAGTCGCTATTGTCAATCAGTTTTTTCCCAGAGATGTCGTGTTCGTCATTGAATTGGCCGGGATCATACATAATATACCTGAGATCATTACTCAGTCGAATGCTAACACCACGAGAACTATGGTTATCAACATATCTCTTTGTTGAGCAATCAGTCGGATCAGTTGGATCACCAACGAATTTAATTTGTTTGTTTCTTGAATTGAAATGACTTGGTTCTGACAGTTCCAAACCCTTGCTGTCAAATACATTTAGTAACATTTCATCAATTTCCTCTTGTGACATCTGATTGACACTGAATTGGCTGATTCTGTTGAAAATTCTATAAAATAAGTGGAGTAGATCAGTAAAACTGGTTGCAATTTGAAAGGGGAGATGTAAACAACTCTTTGGCGGGTCTGCGTTTCAAATTTGTTATTTCTTTACCACCCATGTCCATATCACCAGTCATAGCTTTGCTA